CACATTACAAACAAAAGAAAAATTTTCTCTCCAACTACAACATCACTTTGCCTACAGAAAATTTATTCTTCCTTGCTGGACTAAAATTATCAATATTTCCTGATTTAATGTCATAATTAAACCCAAAACACACTAGGTCCTAGTATAAATCTAGGCTTCCAACTAGAAAGTAATTCACCAACCATGCCAACAGTTAACAGACACTGTTAAGGGGAGGGGGGGCTAATTACTAACGTTATAATTACTGAGTTAGGAGCAGCAATAACTAAAGGGAATGCATTTTGTGGCAAGGCTGGCATGACTAGAGCCTAGAGGGCAGGCTTTTCCTGGAGGGGCTTGAGTAAACCCTAGATTGTGACAAGACTTAAAACAAGAAAAAAACAGCCTGACTCCGCTTTGGTGCAGTCAGTAGGCCACAGATCTGGCTGTTTTCGGACTGAGTTTGGTGGGGATAAAGTTCAGTTATAAAATTTAAACTTAAGTTGAACTAGAAAGGATCAATGTTCATGACGTTTTGGAAATTTGTTCTCTAAGGCCTTTGTTTCTTTCTTTTCTTTGGTTTATTCAAATTAAAACAGACCTAGGCAAACAAGTTTTTACTGGAAAAAGCAGGAGTAATCTTACTCTAATGTCTTCCTTTGTGTGCTGGCTCGGGGTTGAAATCATGTAGATGTACATGTACATGTCATTCCACTGCATGTCAGGAATTATTTCCGGTGCAGCCTCCAGCTTTTTTGCGTTGACTTGATACGGGTCCTGTTTCAGATTACATGCCTCTAGTTTTTCTATATATCTCGCTTTAGAAGCACCCATCAAGCCTTTAGCATAGGCAGACAAAAAATCCGACATGGTAACAGTGAGGGAAACAAAGTATCGCTCTGTGAAATACGCTCTTTATTCAGGCTTTGCACCGTGTGATTCCCGGTACAACGTGTACTTGCACTAGTTTGCATTAGCACCTGCACTTCAACGAAATTGCGCCGCCACTTGACCTCGAAGATGGCGATGCCATTGGTCGTTAAGTTGGCAGTGACGTCAGTGCATAAGGTCTATTCGATATTTTTTCCTCTTTTTCCTCATTGCTGAAAATATTCTCACAACACTTTATTAGTTCATCCAAAATTGATCAAAATGATCAATGATTTGAAATATATTGCCCAAAGACACCTGATCAGTGATACTTCATGAGAAGATACTTTGTGATTGAACCAAGGCCATGGTTCACCATGTAAAATGACACATTTGCCTATGCCTAAGCATTGTCATTGGCTAACCAAGAACTTAAAATGGTGCTTCCCTAACATGAAGTGATAACCTCACGTTCGGAGGTTGTGTACAGTGTAGCCAATCACAGTGCAAAAGCCATCAGCCCTTCCTAGCACCCTGTTCAGGCACTGGGTGACGACTGAATGTAAACGGGGGCCACAGAATGGTCACTAGAATAGATTTGTAAAATTTCTTCTGGAGGGACCCTTCGAGAAACTCTGGGTTGCAGGGTTGACAAGGGGCATGTAAAAAACCTCAGGGCTTGAACATTGTTAGGTTTGGATGCCTGGGGATGCGGACTGGAGAGACACAGTGGTAGGTCTGCATCATGATGGCAAATCCACTGGGGCAGAGCTAAAAATGATGGGGGGACTGCCTGGAAAAAGGTATTTGATTGTTCCTGTTGGTGCCTGGTGATGTAGTCTCGAATGAAGGTAAGAATGCCTCGAAAAAGGTATTTGTTCATTCCTGTCGGTGCGTGGTGACTTAGTCTCGAAGGCCAGTAAGTTTAGCCCTGAAGAGGTCATTAAGTATCACCAGGTGAGGCATGCTTCCATGCGGCCTGTATGAACCAACTGATAGCAGCGAGAGAAGGCTGTGACGGAACTCTGGAATAGGGTCCACGTACCTATTGCGTATTCACTGGGGCAGCGATCTCGGAAGTTGGCCTGGAAAGTCCTGTCTCGACTATGCCTGGATGCCCATGCTGTACATGTCAGGCGTAGGTGTGTAATGGCCACCTGGTTAAGTGGGGCTGTGGCTCATGTTCATCTGAGGAGGGAGCCTCATGGACTACCGTAAAACATGTACAGTCAAAGACAAATGAGAAGATAATGCAAGATCATATTTATAACAAGGAGAATTTGGGGGGAGGTGCCAGGTATTCATTTTTTTATATTCAATAACTGATAACATATAAGGTAATTTGTAAAGTCCCAGTGACCTTGTAACAGTGTTCCACTGTAGTTGTCTTGGAGAAGTTCTAGAAGGCTCAGGATGAATGGCAGGTGACGAGGAGATGCACATTGTGTGTTGCCCTGCATTGTACATGCCAGGGGCTGCTCCAGATAACAAAGAGCTAGGGAGCAGTCCGGTATTAAAGGTGAATACATGTAGTCTACTTCATGCCTGAGAGCCCTGTAGCAAGAGTGTCTGAAGGTGGAGGTCAAAGATGTGGGGTTGGTCGACTGGCACAGGTGTGGTCGGTGCCTTGCTCCAGAAGGGAGGCTGACGGAGAACTAAGAAACTTTAACATGTCATGGGGGTGAGGACACCGATGCAATCAGTGTCGTCTTTAACCGAAGACATGGTCACCTGCTTGGACTGAAGTAAGGCTGTGCTGTAGTCAGAGCCGAATGTGCTCTGTGTATTGACGGATGGTCAAGCAAAGGATTCTGAGGGCTGGAGCAGACCCTGATGGATGCTGAAATCTTGCTAGAGACTAAAATATCTCCACGTATGAATGATCAAGCGGTAGTTCTTAAAAGATTGTCCTGCGAGATTCCAGTAGTGCTTAGTGGCATTTGAACAAGCTGTGGTTGGTGTCCTCTTCCAGTGGAGCGGCTGATGGTAGGCAGAGCACTTGAATCATAGTCCCGCTGAAGGAGAGGGAAGTGGCCCTCAGCCAGAGTGAGAGTGCTGATGGAATCAACTTCAACCTCCGCGGAAGAAAGTGTTGGTTGCACCATCAAAGACAGGGTCATGCCCCATGCCAAGCAATGTGTGGTCCCAATGGGGAGAAGCCTGCTGGTGTGACTCCGGTGTGGAACCCTGTCTGGTGTCATCATGGCTTGTGGCTGAAGAGGGCGGTGGAAGCTGGTGGTGGTCTATTGTCGAGGTGGCGAACGAGGGAAATCAAGGCTTCATTGATGGATAGACAGGCCAACAGCCATGGCTCAGAAGTAGGCTCATGATGATCGGAGTGGTGTCTCTTCTTGGGTTTCAAAAAGCTTGATGAAGAGGAGGAGCGCTTGTGCTTGCCTTTCCCAGAAGCAGCTGATCCAGTGGCAGTTGGGGCCGCAGGAGGCAGAACACCTGGGAGCCTTCCTGGGTGTAAAAGCCAGGTAGGCTCCACGGAACCTGAAGAATAATTAGCAGGTGCCAAGGTGACTTGGCTTGGCGGTGCACCAGGCAGGGTGGGCCCTGGCACTCACAGGGAGCCCTGCCCAGTGACTTTAGTATCAGGGCAAGAGGGAGTATGACCAGAGGCTGCCGGAAAAGTAGTTTTCTGATGTTAACCAGCAGGTGTCGCTCTTCGGAGTCATCAGGGGAACGCTGTTTGAACACAGCATGGATTCCTCTGGGCCAATTTTTTATCTCTTTTTCTTTGACACATTGAAAATTGTAGACTCAGCAAACAAGCACGCACATGGGTTGCTGGTTTTTTTCTAGAAGCTTCACATGTACACATATTACAAGGTAGCCCACAATTTTGCCCAAGATTCAAGTGTGGGTACTCTTATGCTGACCACGTTATTCTCTATGGTGTATGAATGGTCTATATTGCCACTGCATGTGAGCACAACTGCATTCTCACATGTATGCCACGCAAATTCTGTTCCTCTTCACCTTCAACGTCTCGTGTTCTTTCATTTCAAAATAAATCTCAGAATTATTTTGACCAACTAAGAGTAAGATTTTAGGTTGATGCATCTTAGAGAATACTGTATAATTTTGTGCATTTTCTACATGTCATCAAAACTTTTCCCCCACATTAACTGTGTGGGTCAGGTCTACTAGAGAATACCTACCCAAACAGTCACTACGTATGTAAATTTCCTATGTGTGTATAGCAATTCGCTGAAAAATCATCCGAGGTGCCCTTGACCTACCACTATGCACTGCCCGTATGCGGTCACACTGCCAAATTCCTCCTTTGC